ACTATATATTTCCACAATATAAGTTACGGATCCCTGACTTTCTTGGCACCAATATATTGTCACAGAGAGGTGAGCGGTGGCTATGAATGGAATGGGTTAGCCATTACTTGCGGCTTCTCTCCACGGGATCCTCTCTTGGGTAGAAGATAGGACAGGCCACGCCTGAAGCATAAATGCACGCAATCTAAACCTAATTTCTTGCCGGAAGCTACACGCGTAATTGTTCGCCTAGTCGTGTGTTTGCCTCGGTGTTTGCTCATAACCTCTCGTCTTGTAAGTTTGGTGCTATGCTTCGCTGTTACTTTCCGCTTTCTATTCTATGTTTTTGCTGAGCACATTGCAACGGTGATGGCTTGTGGCAACTGCACTGTGAGTGTGAGATGTTTTTTCACAATTACAATCTGAGATGCAGGATCATGAGCGACTGGAGAGTCAAGGTAAGCAAATCATGCGAGAATATGAGGGCATGAGAGAAGCTCGGCTTTGGTCAAAACTAAATTAAAATATTTTAAAATCTTACGTTTTTGTTCCCTTATTTGCTAGGGCGGCGAATGCTAGGCGCATGTAGTGGCCGTCCTTCATGCCATGGACTATGTAGAGCTGCTTACAGTGTTGCGGCGCATAGTCGAAAGTGCCGTCCGCCAAATATATTTTGCACTGTGCAAGAATGCTGAAAAATGCAATACAATTTTATTTTAAAATCGTGTACCTCTATAAACTAAATTAAATTTGAGGTTGAAGACAAAAGGTACTTTCTTCAAGTTTTTGGCAGTTGCGTAAAGAACAAAGTCTGTTTCTTCAACAAAACAGAATCGTTCCCACACATTTCCCACAAATTGTGAAATCGATAGCTGGCCGACAAATATTTTCGTCCCGAGGAAAAGAGATAGTATATGGACTGAATCATGTTTCTCACTTCGTATGTCCCACCGATAGTTCGTATATTTTTATCTACTGTTGTCCGATAATCGCACGACAATTCTGTGCTACTAGGGATAGCCTTAAGCCAGAAACTCCAAATATGACATATTTTTAGTATATCTTTTATGTTGAAGATCATTATGAGTCAGGTGCTGATCCTAGTGAGGATTTTCGTTGTGGTCAATTTCACTTTACTAAAGGCCCCCCCCCTCCTTAAATATTAATTTGTGATATTAGATATGACCTAAATATAATGTTAATATGTTAGACATATTTGTGATAAATCTGTCCGGTGTGCTGGTCTGCTTCTGTAAGCTTCGCTTTATGTGATAAAATTACATTCAATCGCACTCCTACGTGCAAAATAAAAATGTTCAGACCGCACATGATCTTTCCGCACTCAGTTATGATCGTATACCCTTTCCATTTCGCAGGTGTTGGCCAACGAAGTATCCTCCGGTACTTTTGTCAATCTTATCGCCGTGTCACTGTTATTCACTTCACTCTGCTTCTTCAGCCAAATGTTGTCGGACGCTAGCCTTGCCCTACAAACGTAAGTCAAACTATTGCAACACATAGTTAGAATGACGTGACGATTAACGAAAAACAAATACTCTTGAAGTATTCATGTCATTGATACCCTCTCAGGAGAGGGGGGGGGCAGACCTGTCATAATAGGGAGAGCATTTAAGAATGACGTGACGATTAATGAAAAACAAATAAGCATTTATGGCTTGAAAAATAATTATTTGAAATAAGTCCTACATCCTAGCAAAGCGGTGATTGCCCATACACGACAGATTGTCTTCCACAAGGGTGATATAGTGCCGCCCGCATTCACAGCAGATCTGCTTTTGAGTCTTTTTTAGCAAGCTCTTTTGCTTTAAAGCTTAATAGGCGGGCTTATGCCATCGCCCATGTGTCCGCCCGTCTGTCCGTTCCTCAAGAAGGGCGTGAGCAAAACGGTTGGTGTAAATCCTGGCAGCCACCCCTGAGTGGGTCTGAGGAGGTAACAAAGAAATAAGGGTTGGTCCAAGAAGTGGATTTTTTTACGGTCTTCTAAGGGGTACCTTGTGAAAGTAGAGCCCTTTGATCTAAAATTTCGTCCGTCTAGCTCTATCTCCTTTCGTGTAGGTGCGAGAGGGAGTTTCTTTCACAAAAGTGACCAAAAAATAAATATACT